ATGATACAAGAGAAAGAATGGGTGGGGTTAACAAAGCTCTCTTCCAAAAGAAGTGGGACATACAGGATATTTAGGGTCAGACTGACTCAAATTTAAATCATAGTTTCTCCTCTTATTAAATGAGTGAAGTTCTTTAAATTGCTATATTTTCTGAGCTTCAATGTTTTTCTCTATAAAAGAATTTTAACTTTGAAATCTTAAAGTTTATATTAAATTTTTGCTTTTAATTTTAAAGCATAAGCTTTAAAATCATTTATATTCTTGGTTTACAGGAATGATAGGTGTTATCATCAATATGATTTTGACAACACAAAGATAAATTAAGAACTAAGTGCAGTCTTTTTCCTTTTGATTCAAAGTATACTCTGCGTTGGATAGAAAGTCTGATAAAATTACTTTATCTGGCACAGGGCATTAAAAAGAACATTGCACTGGTATTTGGAGATTTGAATTTCATCCGTGATCCTGATATATGTAATCATGTGATCTGAAGATAGCATTTTATATCTTTGAACAACAGTTCATTCATCTACATAATATAGCACTATCCTATGTCAGTGTCTTCTGATAGGGTCCTTGGCTAACAATGTGCAGTATTTTTTTTTAGTTTTATTTGAGCCCTGTACCAATTTTTATAAAGCATCTTACAAGACCAGTGTGGTCCAGAACACATGCTGGTACCTGCTGCTGTATGTAGCATCTCAGGAGGACATCCCACTCTAGTGTTCCTGGGACATCCCACTCTAGTGTTCCTGGGACATCCCACTCTAGTGTTCCTGGGACATCCCACTCTAGTGTTCCTGGGTGAACTGCTCCCTGCGCCTAGGTGTTGTCCAACATCATGAGACTCTCCTAATCTTCTCAGAGGTTCCATTTCCTGTCTCTAAAATGGGAATAGTATCAGTCGTGTTCACCTCACACCTTTGGGGGGAGCATCAAATAAATAATGCAATTGCAGATGCTTTATCAGCTATAAATACCATAAAAATACAAAGGTCTCTCTGAAGTGTTTGTATAATGGTAAGCATTTTTTTAAACATGAAGGTTTGTTAATAATAGTCAAGAAAATATAAACAGCAAATGTATAACCATGTTTATACTGATAGGACAAGTATGTAGAATTGTTTTCTCCTGCACCAAGAGAATTTCCCGATTATTCCTTGGGCTTGAGTTTAATTAATATGATGTATTTTGTAACCACTTGGGACTTTCCATACCCCCTAAATGTCTGGTGATGTAGTTAATGAATAAGTAATTAAGCTGTGAAGGTCCATTGGGCGCTTTAATTGCTGAGAGACACAGAGCGCTCAGAGAGACTGTATTTCTTGTGCGCTATTCTCATGGAATTGATTCACTGCCTTTTGTATATGGAAATAGAATGATGTGGGGAGGTGAGGGGTAAAGATAGCACAGTGGTTCATGATGAAGCGGAAAGTATGATTTGGAGCCATAAGATCTCAGAATGGTTCTGATTATGTCACTGACTGACTGACTGACTGACTCTGGGAAACCATAACTGAGATAAGATTCCTCCTCTATAAAATGGAGATTTTTTTTGACAAAACTTTGCAGGGTTTCTGTGAAAAAAAATTGACAATTTTTTTGAAATTATAGTTTTCTGTAGAAATATAAAATTATGGCTATGATAAGGTATTTGAGGAATATACTGACTTGATGAACAAGAAATCACCAAAAAATTCTTATCTTCTAGGCCTTTACTAGCATCTCGTCCCACTTCTTAGCATTATAAAGCACATGAAAACATAATGCACTACAAACATGTAAAGTATATGATATACCATGTCCAAAAAGATAGCTATTAAGTATAATTTAATATCATTTAGTTTATGGTTAGACTTTGTCTAAATTTATGCATTCTTACTCTTGGTTTTACACTACAGGCTACACGGACATCTTTTAAAGATAATTATACAATGATGCAGATATGAGAGGGGTATTCTTTTACCTGAAGTTTATAAGTAATAGACAGTGCACTTCTTCTTCTACCTGTTAGACTCTACATCCATAGACAAAACAAATGCAAAGTAACGAGGTATAAAGTATCCTCATCCACGCACCCTACAGCTATACTTGGGGAAATACACGCTCAGAAGCAATTTACTCTGCTATTTGTCCCCATAGAAACAGAGTTGAACTCAGCTTATTTTTCTGAAAAACTGTTTGGTCAGGTTTTTTTCCCTATAAAATGAATTACAAACTTCATATTTACCTATAAACAACATTCTTTTTATGTTATTATAATAATTAATGGATATTCTTTAGTATTTGAAGAAGGTATTATAATAGTCAGTTATACGTAACTACATTTACCGATACAGCCTCAGAGGAAAATATATAGGATTCTTCATTTCAAATGCCATTTTAGCAAAACAAACATCAAGGTAAAAAATTACCTTTATAAGACTGGAGAAGTGAATGCAATATTGGATAATTGGCTCTTATTCTTACAGAAAATTTTAAGATCATTTATTGGTTTTCTTCTGTGAAGAGGTTTTGGAATCCGTAGTGCCCATATTTATGAGTATAAAACCTCTGGATAGTCTGTTGTGTGAGGCGTGCAAGGTAGCATGATTGAAAGGGAAGGCTTTATTAAGATCTAGTATGAGGGACTGATTGGATAAGAATCCAAAAAAAATTAAACTGAAAAGCACGATCCTAAAACTCATGAAAGCTTCAATGCCAGTTTGAGGAAATAGATATGACACAGATTACAGTGATAATTGTGCCTATCTGGGTCCTTGGGTGAGTTCCTTGTCCAATTATAGCATCACTGAAGTTGTATATTTCAAGTAGGAGGTAAACCTGAAGACAACAAAAGATTAGATGAATATCCTAAAAGGTGATTTTCTGAAATGTTTTCTGTACAGATGAGGTATGCCCCTTAGACTTGAATTTTCTATGTGCAAGTATTCCTGAAATGAGAGTTATTGCAATGTAGTTCGCAAAGTTTATTAGTGGGAGAGAGTTATTTGGTAAAAAATCAGGAAAAATCCTCTTGGAAGATGGATTTCTTGTTGTTCAGGCCAAATTAAGCCTAGTGATTTATGACCATGTTTTTATGTACTTTATTATATTTGCAAACACTCTATACATAATTAGTGTGACAGTTCCTTCTCCTTTCTAGGGGCTCCATTACTGTTTTTATCTAAATGACATAATTTTGCTCATCTAATCTTACTTTTCATAGCAACCTTATAATTGCCTAACTTATTCTCCCAGGAACTTTCCCAGTTCATTTGTAAGTGCTTAGTATTGCTGAGCCGTTCATCTCTTTTCTTCCTTGGGAAATAGGCAAAAAAGGAAAAGCTATTTTGTGACTGTTAAGTTTTCTCTGTGTATGTATTATTTCAATGACTATAAGTTCTTCCCCTCTTTGCAGCTGTACCCTTATAATGTGCCATTTTAGGGACTAGTCTATGCCCTCACTCTTGGAATGTGGGTTTGTCATATGACTTATTTTGGACAGGAGGCAATTACCAAATCTGGTATAATGGGGGCTTAAAAAGTCCTTGCACTCTAGGGCTTGCTTTCTTATTAGTTTGGGAACCCAAAAGTGGAACACCAAGTGGGCAGCACAAGCTAACCTCTCAGAAGATGGAAGATGACTGGGAGGTCCTAGCTGATGGTCTACCAGCCAACAGGTACTAGTGAGGCCGTCCAAGACGTGCACCCACCCTCACATACACCCGTCTACCACAGATGCACAAGAAAGCTCAGGAAACAAATCTGACAAACTTGCCCTGGCCAAAACAAATACACAATCAACTCATAGAATCATAAGCTAAATCATGGGTATTTCATAAAGTTCCTGCACTGTGTTGCTTACTTATTGCTGTGTAATAAATCAGGCCCTGATTTAATAACTTCAAACAACAAACACTGTCTCCTGTGTATTGTACAAAGGAATCAAAGCACAGTTTGTCTGGATGCCTCTGGCTCAAAGTCTCTCTTAAGGCTGAGGTCAGTGTGTTGGCTGATCAAGTCATCTCAAAGGGTACATTGCACTTACTGGCACTTGGAAGACCACAAGTCCTTACCTGCTATTGGCTGGAAGCATCACTTACTTGCCAGCCTGGCCTCTCACGAAGCTGCTTACAACATGCAAATTGCATCTCCCAGAGTGAGAGATCTACACAAAGCACGTGAAAAGAATGCTCCAAGCCAGAAGCCACACTCTTTTTATAACCTAATATAGGAAATGATGTCTCATCACTTTAACAAAACCTATATATTAGAAGTGAATCATTCCATCCAGCCGTATTGGATAGAAGGGAGTTATACAAGGGCAGGGCATGACAGGGTACCTACTTCACATGTTCTTAGAAAAACCAGATTTTTCTGTACTCATAGCAACAAGTACTATGATAACAATTTTAAACCCGTTTAATAGATCAACCACAGCTTACCTCATTGAACATGTTTTTGCCATCTTCGTCAATCAGTATTAGACTTTATTTCTATAAGTCCATCTGAAGAATTAATTCACCTAATATACCTCTGTGTGTGCCAACGAATCAACCAAAGACTCACCTAAGTAACCATAGCTCAATTCATTTACAACCCCAAGAATCCATCAGTCTTTGAGCAGCGTGATTCCCCAGACCTTCAATAAGATTAGCACTCTGCTCTGCTTAGAGAGACTATGATTGAGAAGCATTCTTCTCCCCCGCTACGTCAGCAGTGAAGTTTGGTTTTGGTATGATGTGATAGTCCATTATCCTCTTAACAGCCCAATAGATGTTTTAAACCACTAAATTTGGGTGGTAGGTTGTTAGACAACAAAGTCCAATTGATGTGCTGGCAAATAATAGACCCACCACAAGTCATTCTGTTTTTCATGCTCAAAATAGAAGAATCTTGGCTTATTTGACATGGAAAATACAGATTGTCAATCATTAAAAGAAGTAATGGCTTATAAAAGTGGTTAAGATTCAAAGTTACTATAATAATGAATTTGTATTAACTTGTGACTTTATTTTGTTGCTCCTTTTAACATTCAGAGTTATAGATATCCCCAGGGTTTCTGATGAAGTCTGATAAATGTATTCAAGGGGCTTGACCTTTCCTCTTAAGTACTGAAGTTGCTGGTGTTGATCTTGGAAGACACAGACTTTCACATAAATGAAGAATGATTTCTGAGAAGCTGATATCTAGAAGACACATGTTAAAAGACACATGATTTATTTCCATGGTGATGGGAAAAATTATTATGAGATTCTTGGGAATGTGCTACGACTAGGTTTATTTCTCCCTATATTTATAGTCTTTGCTGGTAAGCTCCCTTAGTGGAGATTTGGTTAAAACATGTTCATTCCATGACATCTTGGGCTAATTTTCTTGAAGAGCAAAATATTTTAGATAATCCTGAGGCTTGTCACATGCTGGTCAATAAAGAGTTGATGAACAAACCTTAAAAGGAAGGAATGTGGCAAGAAGTACTCAGAAATAAAATTATTACTCTCCAAGCCAATTATATTTATGTGTACTTACTTAAAACCCATTTCAGTATATACAAAGAGCTAGTACTGAGAGGTTTATAATTGCAGATTAAAGTCAAGAAGATTTAGTCTCAATTGTAATAATAGAGAATTCCAAGTAGAGTTTGAAAGAGAGCAGGGAGTTTTGGCATTTGCTTAAATGTACCAATGGCATAATCAGAGCTGCACTTTAGGAAAATCAATCAATCCTATGTGTAAGATAAAAAGTAGTGGAGAGGGGACTGGGGATTTAGGACAGGGGCACAGCGCCTGCCTGGCAAGCGCCAGGTCATGAGTTCAATTCCTGGTACCGGAAAAAAAAAACAAAGAAACAAACAAACAAAAAGTAGTGGAAAGAGAAACAATGGAGGAGACCAGTGTAGTATTCAAGGTCATGGGGTCATACTGCTGTCACTTGCCAACCATGTGACCTTAAAAATACCTAGTAACCACATCCTGGTTTCTGTATTTACAAAACAAGTTGAGGCTGAACTGTGTGATCCCCAAGATCCTTTGAAGAATCTAAAAACAAAGCAAAATTCTTTAATGCCACGGTGTTCTATGAAGACAAATTAAAGCATTGTAGGAGTGTGGGCCACTGAAAGAGCAAAAAGTACACTTAGTGAGTGTTGGTCAGTTATAAGCCTGCCCTGTTTACCTCGATCATCTCCCAGTGCAGAACCTGCCTACACAGAAATTGACAGCTGGGTCGAGTTTCTACTTCAATACCCCCAGCAGTAGCGCCACTGCTTTGACAGGTGCCACTCTACCCCTTCCTGGGTGGCTTTCATTGTGCTTTCATCGGCTTTTATGCCAAGGTAAAATTTGCTCATTATTATCAGATCAACTGCCCGGAATTAAATAGATTAAGACCAAGTTCTCTTTTGGCCGTCTGCTAACTTGAGTCCAGTCCCTCCATGCTAAACATTGCGAAGTATCTTTAACGTTTTCAGAGAATGTGATTCTTTATTAATTAATCCATCAAATATTTATGGATCACAAGGAGCATTTCAACCACTCTTGTTGATTTTCGCTTCTGTTAGTCTGTGCCAGCAGTGCGCAATGACTGCATCCATCGCGGGGAGCTGACACAGGTACACCACACAGTCTGATTCTTTTCCATCCCTTTCTTCCCCTCCCCCTCCCTTCATCCCTTGGTCACTTTCTCTTTTACAAAAGATCTGTAAAATCTTCTGTACAAGATTTTCCTATTTCCTGTTTCCTATTACACACCTTTTATTTTGCTCTTTAATTTATTTATACTTTGGGTTTCTCATATAGGAGAAACCGTGTGATAGTTAAGCTTGTGGGTCTGGTTTATTTCACTTCACATTATGGTCTCAGGGTGCATCTATTTACCTACAAATGATTCAAGCTTATCCTTCTTTATCGTACTGCTCCATCATGTGCAAATAGCACATTTTCTTTATCTGTTCAACAGCTGAGAAAAATATAGGCCATGTCCAAGACTTAGCTACTGTGAATTGTGCTGCTGGAAACCTGGGTGTGCAGGCATCACTGTAATCTGACGTCCTTAACTCTTTTAGGAAGGTGACTAGAGGGGGAATAGCTGGGTCAAATGGAATTTCTAATTTGAGGAATCTCCACACTGATTTCCATAGTGGAAACCAACCACCATCAATGTAGAATCAATTTGATAAAACTCATGTACGACAAACTTACTGCCAATGTCATATTAAATGGAGAAGCTAAACGCTTTTCTTCTTGTTCCTCTAAAACCAGGAACAAGACAAGGATGTCCACCGTCACTTCTCTTGTTTAGTGCAGCACTTGAAACATTAACCTGAGAAGTCAGGCAAAACAAAGAAGTGAACGTGATACGTAGGGGAAAGGAAGAGGTCGGATTACCATTTGCAAGGATGCGACTTGGGACCCTTCGCCGTCTCGGACGTCTGGAGTGGAAGAAACGCAGTTGATGTGAGTCTCCGGGTGCTGCCGCAGCCTCCACTGGCTCTTCCTTTGCACAGCTGAGGCACCTTCCCTTCAAGGGCAGAACTGTAGTTCTCCGGTGTGCAGGCTGAGGAATGACCCAGGAGTGCTCTGTGGATTAGCAGACTGACTGGCAGCAAAATCCCTCCTTCCAGCCGGTAGGGGCTGCACCTGAATACACCTCAAGAAGGAAATAGTGACTTCTGGGTTAGTGGCTTCTTCCTGAAGGTGTGTGTGTGTGTGTGTGTGTGTG